AAATTCTCCATTTCTATGTTCGGTTTACTTTAAAAATGTTCCTTACCATTTAAAGTGGCCTTCCAAAGTCTTACGTTGTGTGAATATATCAAAATATTTCAAGAAGAAATAGACAGGAGTATTTAGTTTTATTCTTAGAACACTTAAAAAAGGTGCAACTGGAAAAAGATCACTGGTTATCTCTTGTTTTTTGGACAAAGAAGATGTGCAAAATAAGATTTAAGGAATCCAAGTACTTCAACTTGGATAATTAGGAGTAAATGAAACTTTCTGTACAAATCTTCAGTTTTAACAAATATTAAGTTACCCAAAAATTGTATCTGTAATAAACCACATTCTATTCGTTGTTTTTAAAAAACCCTTTCATAAAAATGTATTAAAAGTTTTATGTGCAGAAACACACACCAATATGTATGAAATTAACTCTGAATAATTTGGTCAATACAAATTAAGTATTTAATTTTGCACAAATCTCATGAGTGTTTCTAATTTTTTATCATTTCATAAGGAAATATAATAATTCCCTGCATCTTTGGTTTTGGCATGGTACAGTATTCTACTAATTTCAAGATACACTAAACAAAATATTTTAACAATGTAGATCAGCTGGCGGACAAATTATCATGTAGAAATCTGGACATTTAACACAAAGATATTTAAACTTAAACTGGACTCATGAGAGCTGAATTCAAATCTCCCTTTTTAAAAAAAGTTAAAATGTTTATCAAAATCAAAAAAAAAAAAAAACACACCAACACATTTGTGTTTATCTAATTTTAATCAACAGCTGTGATGATCATTTTAACTGGCATTTTCACCCTTTCTCAAAAAAAGTGAGAAATTGCAATTATAAGTTGCAATAATATTAGTTAAAATATTCCAACTACACACATTAGGAGGTATTGTGATGTTTTTAATTTGTCCACTCAGATTTTTGTACAGTGGTTGGAAGCCATTATATACGCTGATCTACTTATAACTAATAACACAGGTTGCCAATATTAAATGAATTTCTTGAGGCACTGACAGCAAGATTTAGTCTTCATTAAGAAGATAAACTGATTTGTATATCCTTATAAAGCAAGGTCTTACAGTCTTTTTCTTTTAAGTGTGCTTTTTAAAAATTGGAAACCTGAGGAACAACAGGTCTAAATTTTTCTATCCCTAACAGTCCTCGAAAATGGCTAAAAGACTAAGAGTTTGAGGGTGACGGGTAAGAAAAAAAAAATAGAAACTTCAAAAAAGAAAGTGATTCATAAATGTATCTTATCAATAATTTGGCCCTTTTCTGTCACGGTCAATAGCACCAACATTCATCCAGGTTATACAAGTCAGAACCTCAAAATTAAACACTGACCCGCTCCCCAGCTCCGTGCCCAGCTGATTTTATAGTTTTAAGTATCTCTCTAATCTACTTCCTTTTCTCTCCCTCTACTTTGGCAGCTAGATAATCCACTTAATGATCACTGATTCCACCGCTCTCATAATACTCTATCAAGTCCCCTACCTGAATGACTTTTCCAATCTGTTGGTTAATACGAGCTCTTAGGATAAAATTGAAAATCCACAATACAGGCACACCAGCTCCTTTGGTTTGATTCAAATTCTCTGCATTCATCAGCTTGTTTTATTATGATTAGTCAAAGGTATCGTGTATCCTTCTGCTCTCCTCTAAAGGATTACTTGAGCTCCTTGAGCTAATCGAATATCCCTTCCTATCACACAGCCTAGCTCATCTTTTCAGTAAATATTGACTATGCTATTTAAAAGGAGCTAGTTTAAATCAGTTTTCCTGCCCACACCAAGCCAAACAGCAGGACATGACCCTAGTATAAAACAGAAAAACAGGTTCTGCTGTAAAAACTATTATTAACAAAGTTAACGTGTTTTATGTCTGCATGTTTTAAGGGAAAGGGTTCTCTTAATGAACAGGTGACTTCTCTGAGACTGAAGAAAATCAATTAAAGCACAAAGCTATCTTAAGGCTAGAAGAAATAACTGGCCAAGAACCTACAGGAATATAAAGGTCCTCAGATGCACAGAAGAACTAAAACAAGACCAAGATGTCTGAGGTCAAGGCATCGCCCAGAAGAGAATCTCCAAAGCAGGTGGAAAAACCAGGAGTTGGGCAGATCGCTTGAGGCTCTATACCGATTGAGGCCACTGATGATTTTTAATAAAAAGTATCATGTGGTTTATATTCACAAAGTTTATTTTTGCATATGTGTGGAGAATAAGCAAAGAGAGGAAAGAAAATGACCCGTGTGCCAAGGAACTGCCTCTGTAGAATGTACTCTGCGTGGAATTTAGTTCACGCATGTTTCCTCTAGCATTTTCACTGAGTCCGTGTGGCTAAGAATCACACAGCTTTCTCAATAATATCGCCAGAGCCTACCACCTGCCTAGCACATACAGGAGGCATCGATGAACTTTATTAAGGAAATACACTTAAAATGTGTAAAAAAAAATGTGTCAGTAATTTTTATCACACACACACACACACACACACACACACACACTACACCCCTTGAAGTGCAGATTTTTAGTATTCAGTAAATTCTGTGGATATCATTTTGCATCCATGTTAGCCTCCAAACTTATGTATTTATTTATTTGTTTATTTATTTTTGGTACTGGGGATGGAACTCAGAACCTTGTGTGTGCAAGGCAGATGGCAGAACCACTGAGCTAAATCCCCAGCCCTACATACATATTTGTCTGGAGCAGAGGGCTCTCAGTTTTCATGAAGTGCTCCAAGGGGTCTACAAGCGCCAAGAGTTTAAACACTCCCAGAGCTGGGAGGAAGAAACAACATAATCGAGGGCTGGAAGGGCTCAGAGTTAGGACCCTATTGCCTAGCATACATTAGGCCCTGATCTGATACCTAGCAATAACCCTTCCAAAAGCTGCAACAGACTAACATAAAACAGAGAATCAAATAAAATATAGGGTCTTCATAGATTATCAAGTTAACTTCCAATTATTCACACAAATTAAGTAAAAATATTACTATTACTTATTCTCAACTTTGTAATTAAGTACTTGCTTTTCCTTGATATTTCATTTGTACTTAGTAATAGCAACCCCAAGTTAGCAAAAACAGTTCAAAATCCTACTTCTTTTTCTTTTTATCCAATGCCTGTGAATAACAAGCTATAATAAGATACTATTTTGCACACTTACTTAACTAGTTACTTTCAAATAAAGAAATAAACATAAAATTCACTCATCAGAGTCAGTATTGTTTTTTCTCTCAGGTACCAGCAGAGCTGCCTCTTAACGCTGACTTTCTGACAAAGATCTAAAAACAACAACATGGCACAGGCCATGAGCACATGGCAAGGAAGCCCGAGTACCCCAGGGGAAAAGTTGGGTTTGTTTGCTCAGGCACCCAAACAGTACTCCACCCCTCCCACAGGGTTCAACAACAGTCCTTCCTCATCCACCAGTGCGCAACTCACTGTATAGGCTAATTCTTGTTATGTGTGGAAAGCAGACATTTCAAAACACTGAGATTTTTAATCATCTTCAAATGCTTATCATTATAGTAATTAAATCCCACAAATCAACTTAGATGCCCGCGAATGTCAAGATTTCTCTTCCACTCAAATTTTCAAAGTAGCAACCATTTTAAGTAACACAGATCTCAAATTGTCTCAAAATCAGAAAGGTGATATAATTCTTAAATACGTGGATAATCTGTAATCACACACGAGATTATATTCTAGCTATAAAGCATTTACTTGCCACTTAAAATACTATACACTTCAAGGTTACCTGCGGTTAATGTTTGTTAGAAATCACACGTTAGATTCCTGTTTACCTGCTAAATCTGAGTACTTATTTTATGCGCACACACACACCCCATATATTCCAAATATCGGAGGTTATTTTCTTTTGTACAAGATATACAATCGAGGTAATAACCGTCATTAAGATACACTTGCAGATGTGAATCTTAAGTGGGTAACAACAGATTATCCTGCATGTTACAAACTACAAAATGCAAGATTACAAAATGTCTCAGATAAGTAAAACATGATTTCAATAAGAATTTCCAATAATTTTCAGGGAAATTTATGTGAAACACATGTTTCTTTAAAATAACACTTGACTGCCACAATAACAACTTGAATTTAAAACTGATTCGGTTTTGTTTATTTCTCTTAAACGTATTTTGAAATACTATTTATACATAATTAAATGGGAGACAGAAAAGTTGTAATTTTTAATTGAGTTAGTGTTATAGTACGCTAAAATGTGCCAAGTACTATTCTATGGAACAAAATGTGAAATAAAAAGGAAAATGACACATCCCTGTCCTAAGAGGTTATAGTGGGAGACATACAAATAAAATAAATAGGATGATGTAACTTTGGAGGTGCTTTCCATTAGATAGCAATGAAAATCCTCCCGGGGGATTGACACTAATTGGAACCAAGACCTAAAGGATAAGGAAAGTCAGGGAAGTGACAAGCCAAGGAATGAGTTCCAGAGCCAAGAAAACTTCTGACATGTTCCAGGGTAGAAAGGAGATAAGAGCATGAGTATATTTCACCCCTACTGTGTTAAGAGCGTCCTGACCTAACAAAAAAACCATGGATCTGAGGAATAAATTTGGATCTGAATCCCAGCTCAACTCACTGAAAGCTTACGTGATCTTGGACCACAGTTATGAAGCATTTAGCCCCATTTTCCTAACCTGCATAATGGAGAAAATGACATCCCGTCGTTATGGCTTTTGGCAAAAAGATCTTCAGTACATACACACAAAAAATGGTAAATTCCTTATCTCTTCAAAGATGTCACCTCTTTGAACTTAAAACTATTTTCTATTCAAAGTTCATGATGTATGAAATACATTTTAAATTATTTAAAATGGGAATTTGCAATAATACTTAAGTTTTTATGGAAAGCTATGATGCAAGCCCGCTCCCCTTTGTCTTCTGGGTGGGGACCCGTCTCCCTGGGAACTGTGTTCTCCGCATTGTCTGTGGGGCATACAGCAAAGGTTATTAACAAAGGCCACTTCCCTTCCCGGGCATCTCTCGGGAGACGCATGTCACAGGCTCCAAACTAGTAGCTAACAAGACTCACACTTGAGAAAATGCAGTAAATTAAGGAGAATTGGAGACTCATTCTTAGCACAGGTAGTTCCTAATCTACGATGATCAGAAGAAAATGTTCTCTTCTTACGGGAAAAAATTAATTACCTTTTTAAATGTAGAATTTATATAAACCTTCCACATGTACAAACAGAAGGAGAAAAATTCGCTGAAATGTAGGGAAAGCTGCTAAAATATTTCCAGTTCTAATACTTTCATCACACTAGACTTACTAAATAAAGTTACTTTTAGAAATACAGGATGAAAGTTTGAAAGACATCGGAGTGCTTCAGCTAGCTTACAGAGTAAAGTCAGCTTGTTTATGTGAATAGTAAATAGAAGAAAAGGGTGGAGATCCTAGCACATATGAAGAATCTGCTATCTGGGAAGCAGTATCCAAAGAGCCACACATTTTAGAAATAAAGTAAAATGGACAACCAAACCCAAGGAGGTGAGGTAATCTCATTTTCCTACTTCATTATATGTATGAGGCTGTCAAATTAAATATAAACAAGGAAACGATCATGGGATCTTTAAATAGTCCTATCTAATAAGCCACTGCTTGATTCTTTCTCTAGTACAACATTCCGAACATGTCAATGATACTTATCTGGGACAAAAACATTTTTTTTTTCTGTTCTGGTTGTCAATGCTGGAGGAAGTGCAATAAATCTCCTCTGACTCAGAAACAGGACCTCACTAAATATGTACATATTTGCCAAGAGATATGCTTGTCATCACATACATCACTTAAATCCCCACAAAACAAAATCTTCAGGCTTGACAAGCTCTGAGGCTCACTCTGAGCACCTTACTTACAGAAGGATATTTAGAATTAAGCAGAAAGCACATGAGACAACTACTTGGAAGCATTTATGATTGTTGCCATCTCACTAATGACGCATCTATGGTAAGTGAAGGCATGGTAAAGTACAGAAGTTTTAAAAGTTTAAATCCTAAAACTTTAACATCAGTTTCATAGATCTCATAGCGATTTTTAATTTTTTTTTAAAAGCTGAATTCTAGCATTTTTAGTTCTTCTTGGAATAGATCGCAATCCAGATCAGAAAATTGTACTTTTCAAAATGTGACTTCTATAAACACTTAATGTGAAATATAAAATATCTGTTGCTCTTTAGATTCATTTAGCTCTTGGCCCTAAGGGAGTACAAGCTTCTGAGAGGTGATTTAGTACTTATGACCTAGAATTCAGTATGTCTGGGTCAAATCTACCGAGTTCTAATTTTTGAGACAACTCTATTTTGTTTTATTTAACTAAACATATGTAACCTAACTACCAGACTGTGTGTGTGAGAAAACATGTTTTTTTCTATTCTATAGCAGCCCTAGCCTTTGATACCTGCTTTCTTGGTTGTAAGTGGCCCCAATGTAAACAATTAAATCTCAGTTTATACTAAGTCAAATTTAAATAACAGCAAGAGATTGAGGTTTACCATACACCTTCGCAACTTCTCCCCACTTACAGCAACATAGGAGTCATCACAGGAGGGAGACACTTCATTCAGGGCAAAGGGTCACAATCCTCAAGTTTGGGAGTAGCACAAAAAGACTGCCACATACGATTCTGGGCAATGTTTTTCAGTTTCCAGAGAAATACCTTTCTGAAGCCACATTTTTAAAACCTGAGGCTCCTTGAGCACTAAGAAATTATTTAGGAGGCAAAAGGGAATGTTATGACCAAGCATCTCCTGAGTCTCACCAATACTTACTGTGAGATCTGGGTGTCTCAACAGAGTGCAAGATGTTCTGAAGACCACCCTGAGCTGTTTGTGGCCCATTCGCTATTTATGTATGACAAGGCCTAAGGCCAGAAGGCAATGAAACCCACTGAGGCTAACGGTCAATAGCCTGGGAACTGTGCAACATGCTTCTAACTTCTGTCTGACACCAGCAAGTTCCAGCTACTACTGATGGCCCACCACTCATCTAACTTCACTGCACCGCTAGCCCTCCATAAAATGAAGAGACTCCTTGCTTGTGTGAAATCTATGCAGAATCTTATCTATGATAAAGTATAAGCCTGATGCCAGAAGTTCCCTTTTCTTTGTTATGTATTCAGCTTCATAGACTATTTCATTTTTTTCAAAGCAAGTCTTAGTGACTTTTTTTTTTTTTACAATAGTCTGATCATTCATTTATGTATTCCTACAACAACTACCTAGTAACTTCTTTGTCAGACACTGCTTTCATTGCATAGGATACACTGGAAAAAGTGACCGGTGAACTTGCTTGGTCAAAGAGTAAAAGTGCTATGAAAAGGTAATATTCCTCTTTCTATCACTATAGTTAATAAAAGACAAGTTCAACACCAAAACAAACAAATAAATAAATGATTACTTATAGTCAATTAATACTGTCCTCTACTGAAAAGTATATTTAATCATTAATCTGTTATTTATTTACTTAAAAATACATGTACCTGGCACTTTCTTGAGGTCTGTGAATGCATACTGCACTCATGCGGCTAGAATAAAGCTACATGAAACTAGCTCTGAGTCAAGATGTATTCGTTAACTTAATATTAAATATCAATATAGAGCTATTTGCTAAATACTATCAAAGGAGTAGAAATACTCATCTAGTAATTGTCAGAGAGGAATAGTAAAATCCAGCAAAAGATAAAAGGAGTTGCTAGAAACTACAAAGTAACTAAGAAAAGTTCAAAACCTTCTTGGCAACAAATCAAAAAGGAAACCAGAGTTGCTAAAGGGATGCTTCCATTCTGGACTGTTTTCCTTCTACCTCCAGGGGGAACTTACCAATATATAGCTAATCCATTTTTACAAGGGTATATTTTCCAACACTTGAAAAGGTTTTTATTTTCTCTCTCACCCATCTTCATTTCTTTGTTTTGAGAATTCCTTGAAAGCTATGATAGTCTGATCACTCCACACACCAATCTAATTTTCTCTCTCTCTCTCTCTCTCTCTCTCTCTCTCTCTTTTCTTTTTTGGTACTGGGGATCGAATTTGGGTCCTTGCACTTGCAAGGCAAGCAGCGGAATCACTGAGCAACTCCCCAGCTAATTTTCTTTACCCTTACGTTGCGTTTTCCCCTAAGTTTAATATTGGCAAGTGAACCAAGAATCCAGAGTGAATACATGTTTCTGCTTTTGTAAATTATCTTTTGCCATATTCTGTGATGACAAAAGTATACAGAAACAAACTGATGGAAGGAAAAAATACTAAGTCTGTATTTTTTGTAATAGAATGCTAAGATGATAAGTACTCAAGGTCTAAATCAGGCACATTCAGGTGCTTGTTGATGAAGAAATGCATCAAAAGCTGAAAAATAAGAACTAAGATTGATTATGTAAAGGTACACATTTCCAACAACAAATATTATTACATTGTATATATTAAATGCACCAATAAAATTAATTTACAAAAAGCTGAAACGCTTTAGAATACCACTGACAGAAGCAATAAAATTTAAATTTTTCAGTGTTATACTTGGTGGGTCTAGATGTCTCCCTAAATCCTCATTCAATCACAGGTGAGGCCAGGCATTGTGGTGCATGCCTGTAATCCCAGCAGTGGGGAGGCTGAGGCAGGAGGATCACTGTGAGTTCAAGACCAGCCTGGGCTACATAGTGAGTTCCAGGTCAGTCTCAACTGCGGAGTGAGACCCTGTCTCAAAAAACAACAACAAACAAACAAAAAAGTCATAGGTGAGGCTTTTTCAGAGTGGCTGGACCTAGGGTTGTCCTGCCGTGTTTCTCCTCTGTGATGCCACCCTGCCTTGGAGCCAGACATTATGGACTGAAACCTTTACAAACTGTGAGCTAACTAAACCTTTCCCCCTTTAACTTCAGGGCTTGGGTATTTTGTCCCAGCAAGAGAAAGGTGACTAACAACACACACAGCAATGCCTCCAACCGAGAAGATGCATGGCGATCCGGCAGCACATCAAGTGGTAGATGAGTTTCTTAAATAGATTTAATATTACTGAAATCACTAAAACCTTTGCAATACTAGCTGTGAAAAAAGAAACTGATGCTTCACTATTCCACCAAAATGCCAGCTAGATATACACTTATCCTGAAGATAATAAGGAAATGTAAAGAAATTTTTCAAACTGAGCCAAAGTCAGGCAACTGGAAGACAGCTACCTGCTCAGGGATCTTCTATCACATGCTTGAAAAAATGGTGTTCAAAGCCAAAATCAAAAACAACAAACAAGAAGTGTACAAAAGGCAAGGAGATTTTATTTTATTTTATTTTATTTTTATTTATTTATTTAGTTAGTTAGTTATTGGGGCGGGGGGTGCCAAGGATCGAACTCAGGTCCTTGCGCTTGCAAGGCAGGCAGCAGAACCGCTGAGCTAAATCCCCAGCTTGGCAAGGAGATTTTTAAATCAAAGATTGTGCTCTATTAGACTAATTTTATTTCTCTTTAGAGTCAATATAATGTTAGCTTCTTTCTGATCTATTTCTTCATTGTTTTAATATGAGGGAAGCTGAAGAGAAATTTAACTAGACTCAAAGTTAGACCAAGAGCTCAAATCTTAAATTCCTAGAAATAAATCTTTCCTGAAGCATTTCTTGTATCTTGTTACCATGGAAAGTTACTCAATTCGTATAATATATGATTATAAAACTTGCCAGAGATACTGGACACTTAGTTTAAGACTTTAATGTCTGTTTTTTAAAGCTTTGAAAGTAAAAGCATGTCATTTTGATCTTCAAAATACAAAAAAAAAAAAAAAAACACCTTATTTTTAATGGAAAAAAAATTACTAAAGTGCTCCAAGAAAGTACTACTTTTTGGACATCCAGATTGCAAATCATTTTTCTTATTAATAATTTTCGGTGACTACTGAATTTACTAAGAATCCAATAACATCCTTAAAAACACTTTTAAGTAACAAAGAGTTTCACAAAATTAAAGTCAATGATAATAATGCACATTAACATTAAAAGTTCTGTTTTGTGGTCATTTTTACTTACATGAAATTTTGCGCATGTAGAGTTAGAAGAATGAAGCATTTCAAACATACCATACAACAGAAAGAAAAATAAGTGTTGAGTCAACACAAATGTTTTTGAACAATGAATTCTTGTCACAAAAATGCATATTTGTATTTTATGAAATCATAGAACAAAAAAATCCATAACCAAATAAGAGAGTAACAAGTTATTACAGCATACACTGTTATCTTCAAAATTGTTACTCAGAGTACAAGAAAGGAGCCACAAGATTCTTGCAAGGAAACAGAATGCCAAAAAATGTTCTTTTCAAAGAACTAAGACTACTAGTATAAAAGAAGAAATTTAGCATATATGCTGAAATATTTTTAGAACGGAGTAGGTAATTTGAGGAAGTAAGTGAAATTCTCCCTACTTCCTATATCTTCTATTTTGCCCTTTAATTGTGTGTATATTTATACACAATGTCAGAATTAAAGTGACAAATGCTATAAAATAAGCTTATGTTCAGAGTACTAAATGTTATAAACTCACTGGCGAAATTTTCCTTTGTAATCTTATTAAACTGTGCATTTGTTTTTAACTTTTATTGTAGCACCATCTTTTTTTGTGTGTGTGAGTGTTTAGTGGGAATTGAACTTGGGACTTGGTGCTTGCAAGGCAGGCTATTGTAGCATCTTCTTAATCCTTAACAATTGTCAAATAACCTCAATGTTTAAAAATAATTACTGAAACAAGTTAATTTCAGAGATAGCAAAATTATATTTATCCAAACACTTCAATGTGCAGAAAAAATAAATAATAAACAATATAACGATAATCTCTATAGAATATTTACAATAAAAAACTTCATAGCCAGCTAAAAATAAACCACATTGAATAAAATGTAAGTACCCTAAATTACAAAACGGCTCACACCACATTATATCTGGGAAAATAATGGCTTTTACACTTTCTGTAATCTTTAACAGATCCAAAATTTTTGCTGTTCCTCATGTCAGTAATCATCCTCCCTTGTGATAACTTAAAAAATAAAAACACTAAATAAAATACTGTCCCTGTTTTGTCTCTTCAAGCTGAATTTCCAAAGAGGGGATGTGTCAATTTGGGAGACAGCAATGATAAAGAAATATATCATTTTAAGACTTGGTTCTAAATATTTTTAGACCACTTTTGATTTACCCTAAGTGGTTTGCAGGGATACACAGTATGATGTTTATTCCTTTTAAGTTTCAGTTCTTCACACCACCAACCACCAAAAACTGTGCACTTACTAAATACTCAATAATAAATATGCATATGGCATTTGCTGAAGTAACAAATGACTTTATGAACAAATCAAATCAAAAAGTACCACTGCTATGGCTCAGTAATTCATTCCATGTGCCCAACTAGCTTTGACTTTCCCTTTTGACAGGTCTTGTACAGAATTCTGAATGTCTCATATGCAGCCTCAAAGTAAACTGACATTGTTATTTCATCTAGAAAAAAATAATAATTTTCAGTGGCTGTAAATGCCAGATATACCTCACAGGTTAGAGAACTCTAGCCTTTAACTTTCATTCTTCCTAATTTTCAATTTTTGTGTTTGGTGGTAGGAATTGAACCCAGGGCCTTCACACTAAGTTACATTCCTACATCTAATCTATCATCTATCTATCCACCTATCTATCTATCTTTCTATCTTTCTATCTATCTACAGACAGGATCTTCCTAAGTCTCTAAATTGCCCAATTGGGCTCAAATTTGTGATCTTCCTGCTTCAGCCACTGAGAATGCTGGGAATACAAGTATGCCCAACCCAACAGCATCCGACCTCTGATTCCCAATTTCACCTTTACTGACCCAAATGTAGTCTTTGTAGTGTCATATTTTCTTAGCCCCAACTAAGGATTAATTTCAATTTTCTACTAATAAAATGCAGGGCTGGGAGCACAGCTCACTGACAGAGCACTTTCCTGGCACATGTGAGGTCCTGAGTTGGAGCGCAGCAAGGTAAAGAAAGTATCCCCATACATTTTCAAGGGTCATTCTAAAAATATCAATATAATAGTAAACACCTGGTTGAGAGCTGAAAGTGTGAAGAGTAACTG